ATGCTTAACACCTCTAGCTAACGGGTATAATAATGATGATAACATGGCAAGCTCAGAAGCCAAGAATCAAAAGTTGTACTCAATAAAACATGCACAAGTCATGTGCCAGAGCACTGCTCTATAGTATCCACTAACTCAGGAAAAAACGATAGAACAGCCATGGAACAACCAAACGCTTACTCACAAAACGCGTTTTAAGCAGTGTTAATCTCTACTATCTTTAACGGTGTGAGCCGCATATGGTTGTGCGTTAATGATTGCAAAGACTGAATTTCAGTGTGGTAATACTATACCAGTTCATCAGCAGTCCAAATGAGAACAGCGCGTCCCCCTTCAAGTTTTGAGCAGGACTACATAGCATCTCCGTACTACAAACATTCCATCATCATTCCGACAGCTTACATCCGCATCCGTGCGAACGTCTACCCTTAAGGTACTATAGCACTAGCAAATACTAGTCCGAGTCGGTGAGCATAATTGAGCACGGATATCAGAAAGCAACTGAAGTCGGATACAGATGGGCTGCAAAAAGACGTGGATGAATGAAGCTAGAAAAGAGAAAAGTGTGAGCACAATAATAGACAGGAAAGACGAGTGTGAGTATATAGAGATGGAAGGTGCGGAGCACAGTAAGTCAGCCATACAATTGTGCGTTAAGGAGAAGTTATCATATGGGACGCTACAGTACACCATTGTGTGGAACCAGCTACCATTAGCTATAATGGTTTCCCAGAATACAAGTCAGTTCCGTTCATCTCTGAACTGGTTTCTCAATGTAAATCAAGAAACCGACCTGTTGAACACTAGCATGGATGACGATGTTTTGGGAAACGGACCAGGCCATGTAGTTGTCTTTGTCAAAATCGTTCATCTCAAGCCTAACACGAATGATCATGAATGAACATCCTAATATACGTCAGAGCACACCACGTCTACGAGCCATCCAGTTATCTCAAGCACTTTATCGACTTCTGCTCCACATTCATCTTTGACTACTATGTGACACCCAATTTCCATTTGCTTAGAATACGGTCTCAATGATCACCGTGATCAAGGTTCCCTTCAATGTAAATCGCAGTCCACATTGAGATTGCGCGTCGCAATCCAAAATTGACTCTCCAATAAGTCATTTACCGTTGTGCCAAACGTTGCCCACCGTGACCCGGAAGCCAAAGGGCTAGACGTTTCGGTTACTATTCCAATGGTCGCGGGATCGAGGCCTGCAGTCTCCAGCTGATGAGATGCAATTACATCGAAACGCGTCGTGATTGTGCAGTGTTCTCTGGCGGGCAACACCCAATTTCCATCTGCTTTGAGTACGGTCCCAGTGATCGCAGTGACTAAGGTTCACTTCAGTGTGAATCACAGTCCATTACATTGAGATTGCGAGTCGCAACCCAATCACACAAAGTGTAGTCCAAAATTGATCCTCCAATTAGTCATTTACCTTTGTGCACGAAAGGCACGAAAGTGCATTTATCCACCCAGACTGATAATGCATTGATGTAGCTCCCAGTAAATTTGTCCCCATAACAGCAGCGTAGCAGCAATTATTTAGGTATTCGCATCAACTCGTCATATTCATAGCTAAAAATGGTTGGCTATTCAGCAACCACGTTGTAATTACTTACAGTCACCTCGTTAACCGTACTGTTTCCTGTAAAGCCGAAACAATCCCTTCCTCTCTTCATCACTCAGTAAGTGAGAAAAGTACTTTTTCTGCGGAACCTGATCACTTCACCTGTACAGATTGAGAGGAAAGTATCCGCCTGTACTCCACAAAGGCATACAGTTACCAGTGCTCTACAAAGACAATCAAGCGAGGCTAAATTCGCTACTGTACTGGAAACGGCAGCAACGTGTCATACTAAGTTTCAGGTAACTAAGGTGGCAGTTGTGCATTGAACCCATAAATGTCCAGCAGCTCAAGTGCATTGCATGCATCACTGTGTTTATGGGTAACACAGTGGTAACAAAACCGACTTTTCCACTTCCGACTATACGACTCACACGGAAGGCAAAACCACACTAGAGTAATGACTACGCGCCGCTATACCAACAATCTGTTTTCGTTGGATTTAACAACAGAGAAGGTGTTTGCACAACCCATAGCGCACAGAGATACTTCTTGAGTTTATCGTCCAATTAGTGGGGTTGCGCCGATAACGCTTGCCCAGAGAAATCCACTTTACTTCCCATAACATGCTTCAGACTTGGTTTGGGCATACTATACGTGAAAATCATGCCTGCCAATGATTCAGCCTTCTCAATATCACCTATCCTCTGCACTTCATATATCTTCACCAACCATAAACATCTGAAGCTAGCTCGCACTCTCATAGGCAGACGCTGTTTCATTGCCCTGCGGGTACCTAGAAGCCAACGTTCAAGTGCAATTACCTCTAGTATTCAAGCGAAATAAAACGGACCACCTGCAAAATACCCACTGTTTTAGTACCGTAAACTCTGACAGTATGCAGCCACGAAGGCTTCTCTTGCATTATAATGGAGGCGATCCTGAACGCTATCCACTCCGTTCATTGGTGGCAACTGACCTTGGAGCTCACTCCATCAGCATCGCCAAGACAATTGTGCCGTTAAATAACGGATAAAAAATCAAGAGTTTGGGGGCTTCATCGCGTCGAAGGAATATAGTTTTGTACCGGTGTTCTTCAGTTGCTTAGTGCATATCCCATGAGGCATGCACTTCTGCTCTAAAGTGCGGCATCTAGAATGGATGACCATGTGTTCCATTTGGGCCCAAGGAGTTGAGTCATTAAATGAACACAACATACTGAAACATGAAAGTTTCAACCTGAAAGCGAATGTGTTGACGTAGAGAAAGCAGCCGATGTGCAGTTGGGTAAACCGCTAAAAATGTCGGAGGTAGGACCCTACTTCAAAATGGTCTCCACGGTTACGTCATAAACTTAGTTATTGGCCACTTGTGAGCAGTAAGGCCCACGACAAAAATAAGCAAGCCTTTATCTTGGGCATTAAAATGTCCAACAGAATTTTCCGATAGGTACATAAGTTTAAAAAAAAGGTTTATCTCGGTGTTACTGTATACTAAGGTGACTAGAATGTATGGTGTCTCGAAGAAGTGGTTGTGGAAGCCGAATTAGCTGGCTTGAACGCAGTTAATTAGAGGATCTTCGGGTTCACTTGGTATGACTGCGAATCCGATGATTTTACTGCCTTTGAACAGCAAAACACTAAGAATCTGAACTGTACAAATTCCTTAATGTAGGTCAGTTTAGGGTGTTCCCTAGTACGTTACAACGAGACTGGGTGTGTTTGCGTAGCAGGTTGAGCTTGGGAAAAGTGGAAATCGGAGCAGCGCGTCGTCTGTTTATCACGCTGAAATAATGTGGAAGCACGGAGACCGCATATCTGGGTGTGAACGTTCTGTCTCGAAAAGAATATACTTCAGCCTCTGCTTATTCTAGGAATTTGCAGGGCAGCTTACTAGTTAGCACAATACAGCAAAATTGTAACTGGACGCTGACCAAAGGAAACGAATATAAAAGGAAGTAACGTTGGAGAATTTTGTGGCCACCTGATGCCTCAAAGATGTAAACTATTATGTCAGGCTCCTGTCCCAGAGCTATCACTACTGCTCTTTGAAACAAAGGCCGACTTACATTGACTACGTGTTTATAGAATTCACCATCCTACAGTTGCATATATCAGTCCTGTAAATGTAATTGCTTAATGCGAATTACCGAAAAGAGATTTTTGAAACCCTGATCTACTGTGCTTTAACTTTTCCATCGGCATTGTTTACGACTTATAGAATGCTGTCGGTGAAAGAGTCAAACATTTGACCGAAAAGATACAGTGATTAACTTGGGAGCGAGCACTTGAACCAAGAACCTGATTCAGAAGGTCGCGTTATTTGTCCATAGCATTCAACATTTTATTTACTGGCTCCAGTCTCACCTGACTAAACTCGTACCTGCAATTTCGAACTAGAGACAAGCATTTCCTTGTATTGATAGAGACCAAAATTATAGCATCGTCTTGCTTAGTAGCCGATGCAGCAGAAAGTCGCGCCACAAAACTCAATTTGCTGGTAAACAGCAAACTTCAATCCATTGGCATGGAACACAATCACGAATGGTTACTTGCACCCAGATTTCCCAGTTGAGGCAGCAATTCGGTTTTAATTTTTGGGCACAAGTCTGTCTGATTCAGATGCGATCGGTGCAAACACCATCAGTAGGTAAAAACCCATCTTTCATTATTATTCCGGTGTCTCCCAACAACCATTGAGCGTTGGAATGCAAGCTTTGGGTCAGAAAGACATAGCCTACCTGAGATACCCTTAAGGCACCAGTTTCGTGGTTAGCCAGAACCGAAGAGATCCCGTACAATTATGTCTTAGCGTCAAGTGTTCCTGTTGAATGGTAGTCTTGGCACGATGTTCAATGCGCTCGTTGTGTGCGATGAAAAACCTACAAAGTTGGCTACATCATGCACAGGTCAAATTACGACATGTTACGATTGTTTGCAGTGTACCTATGCTGCAGGTATGCCGAACACCAGCTGTAGCAAACTACTAGTATACCATTCCATTTGAGTATTGCCTAGGCAGCCGTTCACGCAAATGAGTTTACTGCAGCAAAAGGACAAGTCTGCTCGTGTGAGCAAATGATACGCATAACCAGCTGAGCAACGAACTCGATACCTTTTGTTGGTGAATTCCATGCAACCACGCTTTCTTTCATCTCGTTAGCGAAGTACGCCAAAAAAAATATCCTCACACCTTGGTTTAGAATTTCAGGGTATCAGTGTTTCCTGCTCAGTGATACTATCCATTCGAACAGCAAAATTGCCGTTCTGTAGGACCAACTCTTACTTGAGTAACAATTACAAGTTTTTATAAGATAACACAAGTAATTCGATACTGTTTCATAAATCAGAGCTAGACTTATATAAGCAGAACAACAGTTGGGCTTGGGAGCAGAGCATTATTTGGGGGACAGTCGAGCAACGCTATGCCCAGTCCGGTCGTCGGCTTAACAGCCTATGGCATTATTACGGTGCTGACGTTGACTACAGCGTATCCCGCTGCATTTCCTCTACAATCCAAACTGATCTCCATCGCTCCGGCTCAGATAGAATACGGACAAACAGCAAATATATTCACTTTCAGTGTGAAACCTGTCCGCGTCTGCGTGGAGACTTTGGGTCTTAACAGTGTCGATGCGCAAGCAGTATCGTGCAAACAGTCTGAACCGTTTGGTGACCTATATCGTACCGTCCTACTATATGACCCTCCAATTGATATCGATACAGATGAAGATATGACCAATTCCTTAATCAAGATAAGGCTGAGAGCGGAGTTTGTGCATGAAGTGTCCACTGCAGGTAACCTAAAGTTTGTGGCGCAAACGCATACGCTAATGTATCGCAAAAGAAGGTGTGTGGTTTTCATCGAAACTGATAAACCCGGCTACATTCCAAATGAGATCGTCCACTTGAGTGTGACAGTAATCCATCCTGTCCACTGGTCCCTGGAGGAGGCCAATAATAAAAGAACAACCGGTGATTCCACGGCACTTGTACGATCCATCCAGCTTCACGACTCTACAGGGGGACTGAGAAAAGAGTGGACAAATTTGACGGAAGATAAGGCACGAAAGTTATCATTCGAACTACCCGGAGACGCAGTATCAGGCCGATGGAACGTCACTGTCTTTGTGTGTCGCGGTAAAGATCACGCGGAATTTACGGTACTGAATGCCAATCACGCAACACCTACAGTGAGCTTCCATCAACCTCGTTGGTTTCGTGATCCTTTCGGTCAAGTGCAGCTTGGACTGTGTGCGAACACATCGCTGGGCGATCCAGCCTATGGTACAGTGAAAATGATTCTGTGTAACAGTCGTCTAGAACAATTGGAGCAAGCCCTGTTCCGTGAACAGTACTCAATCGACCAGCTAAACACTACCCAGCTGTTTTCAATGGAAGCAGTTTATGTAATTGAAAGCCTGAACTACCCCAAGCCCTGTTCTTTGCGCTCGCTAACGTTTGACGAAGATGGATGCGTTGTGAGTAACTTTACCCTGGACGATTTGGCCGTTCAGAAGTACGGCAATCTGCACGAGATGGGGGGTCTCATATTATGCACAGAATTTTTCGACCCAACCGAACCATACCTTGTTCATCTGTGTGACATTTCCAGTCGTATTACCAAGCCAGACACCGAGCCGTTTGCTCTATTCCCAGACTACTACAAGTATGGGCTTCCAATAAAGACCAGGCTGCAGTTTACCAGCATTAACTTCAGCGGTCGTCGCGTTTCCTTGACAGTCACTCACGAGGAGAACCAGTGCAGTTGGACCCAAAACGGATCCACCTCGATCGAAGATGTTTTACGCTTCAATTACACAGTGGATGAGTTCAACGGTGCGGATGTTATACTTCCACCCATCTTCTCCTCCGATTCCATCCGCGTGCTTTTCCACTATCACATCGAGCCAGATGAGTTACAGACAGATTGGAAATTCCGCGCGCACAGACTCAAGAGTGCCCACTCCTTTTCCAAAGAAATGATCCAATTTTGGCCAAGCGTACAAAACATATCCATTGGATGTGCACGTACCACAAGGCTTACTGTGATGGGGAACACCCCATTGTCAAACAAACAATTTTTACTGCACGCCTTCGTGCGGGGAACTATTTTGCCCCTCAATTGGACCGATGTTTCGGATGGAATGGAAGACGAATCGGAATGCATCAATCAAGACGGGCCGCTAGGACATTTCCAGTGTCTGGAAAATCGCACTGTTTCATGTCTACCAGGTTGGCGTGGACCACATTGTCTACAGCTCCATTGTTCTCGTCCATGCCTTCCGCTCAGAGGCTTCTGTTCCACAGGCGATCGGTGTGAATGTATTCATCCATGGTACGGAGAATCATGTTACGACTCGAACACTATCAACACAACCAGCACGACAACTGAAGAACCTACAGGTTACTTTGATGAATACCGAATTTATCAACGCACAATACAGGTGAATCAGTTGCCTGATGTCTTCGGCTCTATTCCTTTGGTTCTTTTTTACATTAAAACATTGGAAAGTGATCTGATTGAGGCAATTAGCACACATGTGAACGTTATTCGCTCCGGTTCATATACGTGTGGTTTGTCTACTCCCACAGACGTACAAGGTCCAGGTGTCTATTTCAAGTCCAACAGCGCTCAAATCGGCTCAACAGCTATCCTGACGATAGTAACGCCGGTGAAAACCCGTTCACAGCAGTCGACAAATGATACAGTCTGTCAAGTTCGAGTTTGGGACGAACGTATGTTGCGTATGTGGTCAGGCGAGGAGCGAGGCCGTCTTCTGAATCAGGAGACATTCCAGACCAAATTCCAACCAGAGAAGAATGACGTAACCTTCCCGAAATTTCTTTACTCTAGTTATTATGAGTTGTGGTCCAGTTCTGTCAGTCAAAGCTATGCCACACACGTTACCGAAGAACCCTCTGTTGCCTGTGAAAATCGTTTCCCAACAACTATAGGTGAACTGGTTTGGCAGCCTGTACAGCGAAACTGGACCTTACCCACAATGTTGCTATTCGAGTCTGTGCGTCCAGCGATCAGTATGGATGGATGGCTTGGAGCACAATACAACATGTCACTTCCGCCAATTGGCCGCCATTGGAAAGCTAGTGTGTTTTGTTTTGGGAAGGACCTCAAACTTTGGAGTGCCACTTCGGAAACGCTGGTAGTTCAGCCTGCGGTTCGAGTACGGGTATTCGGAGCATCGAAACTGAAACTGTACGAAATCGCTCGCATAGACGCTGTGGTAGAGTTTGGAACTTCCGACCCCACCATCGACTGCTACGACGTTCGGCTAAATTACATTTCCAGTTCGGATAAAGTTACGTTTTACGGACCTAGCTCTTACTCCCACTGTGTTTGTGCCAAGAGCGCAGTGATATTTACAACCTGGATAGCAATAAATGCTCCTGGGATGTTTCAACTAATTGTTGATCTGCACGTGACTCCCGAAGAGCCTGGTTGCGAAAGGAACTTCACAAGGACCGGGGTTGACAAGGTCACTCGTCGAGTTTACCACACAATAAGCTCCACTGTGGAACAGTATCATTCAACCGAAGTGGGAATCCTGTATTGCATGAATTTGAGCCCAGAAACTCCCAGAGAAAGCATCAGGAATGTCACATTGGTTCTACCACCTTTCTTGCCAAACAATACAAGGAGCGGTACGCTGACAGCGTTCGTTTCTTACAGCGGAGATGTGGTCGGACCATTGGTCAGAAATTTCAACCGCATTGCAAGCAGACCTGTCAGTGATGCCTACGACAACTTGGCTTTGGTTTACGCCGGAGCCAATGTACTCAAACACCTCCACAAGATGCGGTATGCGACAGCTGACGTGACTCCCACCTTCGGTCCTAGGACTCATGCCGCTGTGGTCCGACACTTCAATGAACTTTCTAAGTTCCTATGGCAGTTGACACCAACCGGTTTGCACATGGCCAGTGATAGAATGGATTTGCGGTTTGCCGCCTCGCTGTATGAAACACTTGGCTATTTTGACACATACAACTCGAGGTATACTCCTCTGGATGTCAGTTGGCGTAGAGATTGGCGATACTCGACCACGTTTGGTTATTATCCATGGAAGTATAATCAGAACGTCGAATATGCCACAGTCAATCTTCTGCGGTACTTCATTGGCAATCAGGACTCAGATGGCTGCTTTGGATACATTTCATCTAATGATACTGCGTCCGAAGATGCTCGACTCCCTTTGAGCGCTCACATGTTCATAGTACTCCAGACAAGGTTTCCTCCGATGCTGCTTCTTGATGACGCGAATAAAACTTTCGGCCAAATGCTGAGCTCCTTGAAAGCCTGTCTCATGCAACCATTCCCTGAGGAGATATCAGATGAAGAGTTATACAAACACGATACTCAAACCTTGGCTTATCTAGCACACGCAATGGTACTGATGGACCCGATGCCGCAATTAGTTCATCGAGTGTTAAAAACGCTGGCCTCACGCTCACGTGAAGAACTGGCTTGGGATGGGTGGCCACAAACCTACTGGACAGCGGATGAGGAAGAAGTTATTTTGGACACCGCAATGGAGGTGACAATGCATGTTTACATGGCGTTAGCCGAAGTGAATCCTTTCGCGGACGTTCTGGTGCCGATTGTTCGTTGGATCACTAATCACCAAAATGCGTTTGGCGAATTTCCGACATCAAAAACCTTCTTTGCGGCGGCGCATGTTTTGTTTGATTTCTCGTATCGCGTCAGTTACTTCGCTGTAAGCAGGAAGAGTTTGGACCTGGAAGTCTCGATGCATTGGGCCTCAGAGCAATCTACATCCCGTCAATTTTGGCAAGGCATCGACAGAGACGTGGGTGATGTGTTTTATCGCTATCAACCTGGTGAACCGGTCGATAAAGCAACAATGACGTTCGACCTTCATGATATAGTGCCGACGTGCATAGTCGGCAAGGCGGCCTATCTCTACTTGACCGAAGATGCACAACCCAATCAGCTCAGTGTATTGCAAGAATACGACATTCGGATCAATCACATGGTAGACGAAAGTTGTCGAAAGATTCACCTGGTGATCTGTTCGCCAAGGACACGTAGTTTAATTTTGACTGTCCATCCCCAAAGCGGTTGGGAGATATCTGATCGGAACAAGCTATTGTTGACATCTTACGAATGCAACATAGCGCTATCCGACTGCAACATCGTTACAGTTAATGAATTCGACCGCGTTGTCGTCAAGCATGAAGTAGTTGCGGAAGGAAGAGACGGGCTCGAGGCGGATTGGTGTTTTGAAATTCCGTACACCCAGATGGGTTACGTTCAATACGCTTCACCCTTGGAGATCTTCATCATGATGCGCGAAACGTCAATGAAGGACAATCAGCCGATACAATACCGATTGCCAGACTGCGGTTCGCAGGAGATGGCGTTGTCTCACCAACCTGATTCGTCGTCAACTCCACTAGAATTCATCAACTGCCCACAAGTTGTGCATACTCTACTATCGGAATTGGACGGTGTGATTATGCTACTGAAAGAATTTTCCACACAACCCATGCATGCCTTCCAAATCAAACAGCCCATGGGTCAGTCGCGTTACATGCAGGTATATAGAGTGGATAACACCGGTCTCATCGGCAAATGGAATACTTCCATTGATCTCATAAACATGGATTGTGTGGATCTGACCGTAAACACCCTCCACATCATCCCGCCCATGCGTTTGGAGGATGGTGCGCAAACCGTCATCGCGTTGCAACGTGACATCCTTGAGCAGTTGTGGTACACATCAAGGGCCACGTTAGGCAACAGTGCACGAGCACTATTCACTCTGATTCTGTTTGGTGATTATACCGGGTGATGATCGGCAATTATGCAACTATATACATGGTTCTGAAAGTATAGTAAATTGTTTTCTTTCCTTTAGGGAATGGCTAGCGGGGATGCAGAAGCTTAATAGGTTTTACTGCTGGTTCCAACTTCTCGGTTACTAAAATGTATTACGCATTATGTGGCGGTCGCGGCGCTCGCTTATTTTGGCTGGGTAGTATTACAAGGCACTTAATCTTTCCGAGGATAGGAGCTGAAAATTGTTCACGGTAAGAGTTAAGGTAGTATTGAAATCTAACCCAAAATCCTGAGAAATAGCAGTTCCAGCAGAACGCACGGCTTTACACGACGGAAACAAGAGGTTTCATTTAGGATTGAATTAACCCTGAGGTAATGAATGGTTTGTGCTTACGGACCACGGTAAGTCCAAGTTAAAGTTCAAGTGAGACTGGAAGGATGGGATTATGCCGTGAGTGTTCTTTCTTCGGCGGGTCGTTGAACCAGGAGTTGGCGGAGTTTGAAATACTGATGGACCTAAAACAAAGACCGCATCACACCCTGTCCAACCAATTAATGCCCACGTATCCTGCCCTCGCAGTCCCTGCTAAGTCGGTTACGTAAGTAAGAAAAATGGTAAACTCAGAAGGCGAAAAAGTAAGTGGAAGGAGCTAAGCAAGTGGAATACCAAGATATTAGAGCCATTAAAAAAGAACTGAAAAGTGAAGGTGAGTCAGCTAGGAGAAAGGAAAGGTTTGGTGCTGCCACCCAAGAGCATCGAGCTGGCGCGCAAAACTTTTAACCGTAGGTTCCCTAATCACCTGATCTGGAAGCGAATTCCAGCGATCTCTAACTCGGCGCGACAGACGAGTTTCCGTCCTAATCCCATCAGACCGTGGTTTATGCAGTTTCAGTGGGTGACCGCGGAGATTAGGTAACGTAACGGCACTAAATAGCCCTGACAAGTCTGGGCCAATCTTACCCATCAAAATGCGATAAGTGAGAATCAGGTACCCTCTTATCCTTCGGTTGTGCGTTGTGTACATCCCCAAACTGAGCAAGCCTTCAGAATACGTCTGTATCCGTAGATCCTGCACTAACCGACTGCCCACTCGTAACACCCTCTCCAAGTCCATTTTGTCTCAGTTAAGACATGGTGGACAAGCCTGAATACAATATTCCAGGTGGAGCCGGACGAATACCGAGAATAGCTTCACAAACAAATTGGCCGTTAGGATTCCGAAAGAGCGGCGGATAAACCACATCATACGAAACCCTCGACAAGCAGCCTTCTTCCAGTGGTCTCCAGAATGAAGTGCTGATGTGTGTCCGACTCCTAAATCAACCCGCTGAGTGACAACAGGGAGTTCACCACCGCCGACAACATATCGGTACCCATTGGATCGCAAAAGCCGGCCTTAATCCACCGCGTGGATTGTTGAGTTGTCCCTTGTCACATTATAGTCGAAAACTGCTAGCGAGCGCGCTAGTTATGGGTACGTGTGAGTTGTGTTCACGCTACAAATCCTTAAATGACGCATACTTTCACGGTTTCGTGGAATCGGATTAAAGCGAATGCCTTGCGTATTCACTGAACCACTTTGCATGATGGGCCGCTTTGCAAAGCGGTTTTGCGGTCTGCTAATTAAAGGTGAAAAATTCGACTTGAAAGTCAAGGGTTTTACGCCAACAATCGTCATTAGAACCGAAGAACCGCTTTGTAATGGGCTATGATCATCGTCGCCGGTATAACACTGGCAGTCCTGGGACCGCGTTTATTCCCGGTGTTTATCAACGACCTGGCAAGAGTCATCTTCTCAAACTTCCTGCTTTTCGTCGATGACGTCAAGATATGGCGGGCGATTAGTAACAAGCAGGATCAGGATCTGCTCCAACATGACCTAGATTGCATTTACGAATGGTCAAAGAGGAACAAGCTTCAATTGAACATGGCTAAGTGCAAAGTGATGCATCTGCGTTACCAGCCGGTGAGCGCTTACAAGATTGGAGACCACACCTTGGCGAAGGTTTCTCAGGAGCGTGACCTGGGTGTATTGGTACAGGAAGATCTTGGGTGTTCAAAAAAAGCAGAGAAGACGACGAGGACCGGAAATCAACACTTCGGCCTTCTTCGCAGAGCCTTCGGTCGGTTTGAACCATCAATATTTCTCCAAATGCTTAACGCCTACGTGCGACCTCACGTGGAATATGCTATTCAGACGTGGCAGCCGTGGCAGAAACAGGATCTCGTTGCTCTCGAGACTCCTCAACGACGGGCAACAAAGAACATCAGAGGCCTCTTTCATCTGTCCTATCAGCTTAGACTGGAATCTCTAAGAATCGACAGCAGTCGATATCGGCTTTTGCGGGGGGTGGATCTCATAATGGTTTACCAGATTCTGAAGAACCCAAACCACATTTGCCGTCCGCTGCTGGAATTGAACCACAACACTAAACTAAGAGGTCACCCTCTGAAAGTGACAATTCAGTATAGCCGGCTTGAATGCCGCAGAAATTTCTTTTCTCTCCGCGTGTGTGAACCTTGGAACGCCCTCCCTAATTATCTCATCTCTGCTCCCAATCTGGCGATATTTAAAAAACGTGTTGACGATGCATTGTCTCACTTACATTTCATTTTATGACTTGTTAGCCAGGGGCTACAAAACGCAATCAAACGGTGTCTTGCCAAACGCCTAACCAATGGATTGATGGATTTATACGTTTAATACGCGAACATCTCCGCTATTCCACCTAAGTCTATGGTGAGTCCACCACAAGGCTTTTCACTTTATAATGCAATTGATTTTCGCAATAATTTCCATCTCACGGGACTTGTTAAGCGATACTTTTTTACCCGTAATAAACCACTGTTCCATTACAGCGTATCGGGGTAGCACGGAGTGTGAACGGCTAGTTTCAGCTAAAGGCAACACTTTGTGAACCCACATTTCGGCAGTGAAAGGGAATGTTTGCAGAATTATGCTTTACGCGACTGAAACCGCAAACACATACATTTTCTCAGTAAGGGGGAATTCTAACATAGATTGGTTGTCGATGATGATGCCGGCGCCAGTGTACCATGGTACGGTAGGATGGCATACCAAGCAGACGGAAGCAGCAGGAACAATGCGAGCATCTCGCTGCAGACTAGACAGATCACTCTGCTCTGGAACGTTAGCTGTTATCGTGCATATTAACCAGTTAGCGTGTAGTAGATGTCTTAGTATAAATGTTATAATGCTTATTTACTGCCTGCGCGCAATGACAACATTCGCTTGACTATTACTATGCAGCAAAATGATGAAAAGCCCATCGCTAGTCGTAAAAAATATGTCAGACGTATTTACTGATAGTGCATTTGTACAGATAGACCCTTCCGTTTGGTGCGTTCAATCTTGAGTTGGTCCCAGTTACCTCGGCGTGCTTGCTCCGCTGAGGGTTGTCCTCACTTCTTTACAGTTTTTACATCCCCAACATATCGCACTTCTCGGCTCTACTGCAACTAGTCCTCGTATTCTGTAGTATCACCGTGGGTACAGATCGTTCGAACATCACCAGTTATTTGGTACACAGAAGCACTCAACATACTAACGGCTTCACCTGTACCACAATACACTTCAGTAAAGCTGCGGTCGTTAAACATTATACACACACTGAAGGGAGGTAGATTCTGTTGTATTGATACAGCTCACTAAGACAATGATGATATTTGTTATGGGAATAATAATAACAATAGAAATACTAATACTAAATTGATGTTAGGCATTGATCACCTTATATGGATGTGGAGGTTATCCATACCTCCGACTGAGGCTAGAGCAAACATACGTGGACTGTCAATGAACTCATTTCGACAGCCCAAGACCGTCATGTTATGAGAGGAGATTAGTCCTATTTTTCGTGTTGTAAGCGCACAGTATTTGCACACAGGATATCGTGAAGTAGGAATTACGAAGAATCAGCGACTTCCTGAGAGAAACTGAGCGCCCAAACAATTTATCACCATTCATTTCAAGAAATGCAAACAAAAGCCACCTATGTATATTGCTCCTAGAAAATAGCTTTTCAAACATTTACAATGTAAAAGTAATTCTGCTACTGACATCCTATCCACATGTTCAGAGTAGGTCTTATGGTGGGGAGCATAAGGTGTACGAGAGGTACTCAACAACTATAAAAAATTTTAGGTCTTGCGATAACCAATGAGGTTCGCGAGACATACTTTGACGCAAGTAGGCAGGTGACTCACACCCACGGATACCTATTTTCCCACAACAGCGAGAAGTCATTCCTGGTCAAATTGCAGTTGCTTGAGGATGTGCAAGTGAGCATCCTCAGAAATTTTGTTTTGAAATATACGACTCAAAGTGAAACAAAGTTATTACATTAAATATTTTGTGAATCCCGGCAATTCCCAGGTGGGAACTATCGGAAACACTCAAGAGGCATTTGCTGTCATGGCAATGAGCACCATACGGAACCAAGGATGGTGCCACCGTTTCAAACAGGGCCGCGTATCATTGGAGCGTGCAGCCTCGTCTGACAGACAGGAATGAGATTACTACTGAGGAGACGGATTCAGATATGCTTTTACTTGCTGCATCGCAACTGGATTACATGCCGAAATGGTGAGCCACCAATCCTGGAAAGCGGCATGCGACAGATTCACCCTATTGGGGCTTGTCAGTGGTGCGCATTCCCTCGGTCCGCTACTGGGGATTGAACTCATGACCGCTAGTAACTTACACCACTAGCCAGCAACTTATGCCGCTGAGTCATAGAGCACGATAGCTGACAATCACAGATTGAAATCTGACTGCAATATAGCCCAATTCACTGACCAAGGGAAAATTTTGGTGATGCAGAATCGTTGAATCATGATCCGAGAAGTAGCAGGTAGGGTGCGCATTAGCGTTGAGTCTGTTGATTTCAATCTGATTAAAGATTTTGGTCTGGGACGCCGGATCTGTAGGCAACACGCAATCGGCAACTCCAGCACGATAACGCACAAGCACAGTTGTTACATTGGATAAA